TAAATGAAATATTGGTGTTAATGTTCACTTTATTTTAATTTGAGAGGTACTGTATTTTTTAATTATATTTATTTAATTTATGAATGTTCCATTCAAAAATGTTATTAAAAAGGCATGTTACACCCAATAAAGATGGAACTATGAGATATATTGTCAGGAATGTTAGTCTTATATCAAATAGTGCATTTCTTACTGATAGGAATGTTGCACGTACTGCCCATTGTATTATGTTCACAGCTCAGTGTCAGTTAAGTTTGTTGCGGTTAGTATTGGACTGGAAAGATAGAGGCAAGCCTGAACAGGTAGAGTTATTTAAAGCCTAATTAAGTGGGTTGGGTTCTGGAGGTTGTGGTACAACAATTGTGCTTGTGGCGTGGGCCGGGTCTGGGTCTGTGGTGGTGGCCAATGTTGATATCTTTTCATGGTGGCCCAAATCCCTGCGGCGCCCCTGGTCACAGATTATGGTTCTCAAACTTTCAACAAAAATCCAAAACTAATAATCCATGGTATAGGAAATCATGTTGAGTATTCTGTAAAACTGAATTCGTTATGGTTCCACTTTGTGTACTGGTAAATGGGTAAACGTTTTATCAGAAGCTGTCAACGAATATGTGCTGGTGTGCATTCTTCAGCAGATGGGAGGACTGAGGAACAAATATGTCTCCTTTTCTTAATAAAAGTGTAATAATAATAAAAGCCTTTGTTCTGGAAGATGGGTTTGGTGGAGTTTGAGAATGTTAATCTTCTGGCTGATACAATGTTAGTTAACACAATACTAAGAAAGGCCATGTTTCAACGTCAGCTTTCTCAGAAACATCCACCTCCACTCGACATTGAAAATAAGAAGTTTTGTTTAAAAAGATTGAAACTTTTGTTTTAGGACTGCTTTCATTTAGATCCCCCCACGCAACCTGGCTCATCAGACTGGGCAGTGTACTCGTATGTTGCCTGTTGTTGATTATTGTACCAAAGTCCTTTGAGAACACTTTTTCAGATAACTTATCCGCAGACCTCTTCTGTTGTCTTTGTCTCTGTCTGTCTGGCAGGGTGCTCTTCCCATCCTGTGAACACGGAGGGATGCACTCCAGTCATGGAGCACCTTCCACTGTAACTGCTCAAACGTGGCTACCGAGGAGCCACCTGTCACTGCTGTAAGTTATCCAGCCCTGGCATCTGCAGGTCTTTAAAGGCTGAGGCGTAAAATACAATTTATGAAAATTAAATGTATTTAATTTTAGGTTTGAAAAGGGGTCAGCTTATTTTTTTATTATCTGAATTATTCTTTAATTTAGGTGTAATCACCTTAAAAGACTATCATCGATTATTGTGTTTTGACAGTGAGGGTGGCCTGGGTTGGCAGTTTTTAACAATGTTCGTATACATAATAATATAATATATAATAGTAATATAATCAATAAAATTGACAAGAGGCAATTCCAAAGTATTCACAATACAATTTTGTACCCATTTGTTTGTTTATTCTTTTTTTGTCCTGATCCATCTATATAAAAACCTGTCTGAAATTACTTCATCATGATGATTCTCGAAAGGCGGCTTGACCAGCAGAGCTCATTAGCATTTAAAGCTAAAGGACACAGAATCAGCACTTTTGAAACAGGCTGGAAACAGAGGGGTTTATGGTATGCTACAAACGCATGATCTGTTTGGCTATTTCAAGCCAAACCTTCAGAGACATGTTTTCTTATCATAACTGAGAACTATAAAATATTGAAAATAGTTAATCGGGTACCTCTAAGTATAACAAATACATATAAAAATATTTATTTTAACACCTTCATATATCATTTATTAACGCAACACAAATGTAATACAGAACTAAAGTGTCACATTCATCACTGAGAGCAGCTGAAGAAAACTAAGTGCTCCTCGCTGTAGATGAAAGCCACCATTTTCACCTAATTTCGTTAAATGGCATCACATCGAACCCCTGATTGGAGCAAGTGGTATGAACTTTTTTCACCCATTGGATATTTTCATTTTAAGAGGTATGAGGTTTCTCTGAAAGCCCCTGTAAAATAGGTTATTTTTATTTAAAATCCTCTAGCTTCTTCCTGATGTGCCTTGCTTTTTCACAAGCTTCATATGTTTAGGGTTTCATTCATTGATTCAATGTGAGACTATTTGGACTGTTAAATCAGGCTCGACATTAAGGACTCGCCCGATGGCCGGGGCCATCTAGTATTTAGCTCGGGCAATGAAAGCCTCACCTGGCTGGATTGCCCGATCACGCAATCTTATTTCATGCCAGGTATCATGCAGCTCGCGGATCCAGTAATGAGTGACCCCCCGCAGTAAAAACTTAAACATTCATATAACTAGGTTTAGGTAGTTTTAGAGGTAATTAAAATAAGGTACGAGTGTATATTCTAACCTGAAGGTTGTGAGGTTTGGTCCGGCTCACCGCTGCATGTGATTATGCAGGAAGGCTGGCCGTTTCGACCTTGTCAGGCAAGGCAGCTGATCTCTCTCTCCCGTCCAGTTTAGACTTTCACTCGCGTTTTAACTGGTTCCATAATCGAACTCGATCCAGGGCTAAGTTTCTAAGCTTAATGATAATGGACTACCCTGCTTATTAAAAGACACCTAAACAATAAGTGTTGCTAATGGCAACCGGAGTGGAGCCACGCACCAAAGTATAGGCGCAGCCTTATCCGCTTTGTTTTTACATGCCACCGGGAAACCCGAGGCATTACCACAGATCAACGCACAATCAACCCAGACAGGACCATCTCCTTTCTACCCACATTTACGTGTTAGGACATTATAATTGACTATTATTGTCTGTCACATACTCTTCTTGTCTGTCACATAAGTGCGCAACTGGAAGCGGTATTGTGGCTAAAGGAGAATTATTTGAGACCGAAGGAGATTTAGATTTGCGGGCTAAACGGGAACTCCGACGTTCCCCATGTTGTGTGCTTCGGCGGATGCGCTCGGCTCCTCGTCCGACTGCTTCTCGGGTCGGCTCGGTCAGCTTCCGGATGAGGAAGCATTCATTCGACCAATTTACACGTAAGATAACCATTACTAAATTTTTTTTAACAGGCGCAATATTAGTGTAAAAATCGCGTTTGTTTTAGGCAGTTATAAACCTGAAATGTAATGTTTTTCTACTTTTTTACATCTGGGAAGGCATTTGTCTTCATCGATGGAAAGTGTCTTGACCAACAACTTAAGTATTTCCTTATAGCTATGTACAGGGGGCATGCAACGAGCAAACAAGAGCAAACAAAACAAGTGAAATGAAAGAATAAAATTGAAATTGTACCAATATAATATTGTGGTGGTTCATCGTATAATTCCCCTGGTCTAGAGAATGCACCAGACAGCATCTAAGACCTGCAAAAATCTAAATTTTCTAGGGGGAGGCCCCCCAAACCCTTCATGCCATTTCGTCCGCGCGCATTTTTCAGGCCAATCTCTATTGGGCTCAGGGCCATCTGTAAATTAGCTTAGATGGCCCACAGGGCCATCTCCCAAAATCCTTAATGTCATGCACTGTTTAGTTTGAATATATTATTGTTTGGGGTGAAATAGTCTACCTTGTTCATGGAATTAAATGAACTTAATACTCAGTGTGAAGGCAGATTTCTTCTGATAATCTAAAAATGATGCAAACCGCTGATAGAAAAATGTATATTTGTTTACTGAAACAATTGTGTTTACCTCTTACTGATGACTATGTCTGGTAAAACAACTAAACACATTTTTCTGCAGCATTAGCCGAATATACCTCATTTAAATAACACAAATTAAATGAACCATGAAATTAGGCATCATCCTTGACTTTTTGTTGCTAAATGTTTTCATTTTGTTGGAAACAAACCCTCGGGGTTCCCACTTGAAAGAGTTGTGGAGCTTCTTATATTGAGTCACAATCAGCAATACAATTGTTTCAATAAAACTGAATTAGAATGAAATACTTCTTGTTAGGCCCAAAACAAACCTCTATATTGTTTAACTCCTTTACGAGGTTTCGTAACAATCGATAGAAATGGAAAGGAGAGAAGAGAGATGAAACCATAAAGAATGAGGAGAGAGAGAGCGATAAAGACAGTGTAAGGGGAAGAGAAGACGGGGGAGACTGTGAGAAAATGAGAGTGAGCCGTAAGACAAATTGTTCTTTTGACATAAATGGATTTCAACGTAATGCCTGTAGTGTTTTAGGTGAGTCAAATTAGAAATTAAAGAGATTCTGTCTTTGATTACACCGCCAAGCATTGATTGAATCCTCTACGCGCTGGTGGTGTGATCAGCTCCGGGCCGCCACAGGTACACACATACACACATACACACACAGCTCACCTCTGGATTACTGTAATCGGCTCAAAACCTTTTCTAAAGCTTTCTATTATCAAGGGACTGACTATGGAAAAGTCTGACTGACATGGACAAAAGCAAAAATGGGGAAACTTTCTTCCACTGTTAAAAAATGTACTCCTATGACTTCTTTCCCCAGCACTGTAGAGTGTGTGTTAGTCTGAGTGTGCATGTGTGTGCAAAGCTTATCCAACCAGAGATATTCCCATATTTCAGATTTCACCTAATTTAGTGCAGTTGTTGCCGGATAATTTTTTTCACACAACTTTTTATTGTTGCTTAATGCAGTTTTAAAGGGTCCCTATTATGCTTTTTGGGGTTTCCCTTTCCTGTTGTGTCATATAGGTTTATTTGCATGTACATGGTCTGAAAAGGCTAACAAGTTCCCTCCATAGTGAGGTTTCTCTCTCACCACCAGCAATTTACATCTAAGAAGCATTCACAATATTCTAACTTGGTTTTAATAAAGAACTAGCAGTTCTCATCAGGGTTGAGTTTGTTCTGATTTCTTTGCATACTTTTAACAGCAACATTTGAGGATGTTGAGTCAACTTTACTGTTAGAAAATAGGTGGTAGGCACACAAGTGTTTTGCCCCCTCACAAATTCCACTTCGGTTGAGTTAGGAAACTGAAATATTTGTTAAACAAAGTCATGCCATGCCAGTCCAACCAAGAACATATGATAAATCAAGCAATCACATTTGTGGTGGAATATTATAATTTTTTGGGATCTGGTTAAATCATGACAACTTTTGAAATTCTCTCACCTGTGATGCACAGGTTAAAGGTTCACTGAATATACAATTGATTCACCTTTATGATTTCCTCAATATTCGTATTGGAAGGATTTGATGCTATATTTATGAACACACCCATTTTTTTTGTCGCAGTGTTTGTTCAGGAGGCGCTGTAAAGTCAAACATGTTCCTTGTTGGCTTTTAGTTGTCGAGATAACTTATGCTTATGGATGCGTAATCTACTCAGCTACTAACTGACTTCCAACATCAGATCACACTCTGATAAAAAAATGTGACGCTAAACTTTCTTCACCACTCTGCCGATTCTCTGATGCCAACACTGTTTGCAACTCCTTTCTCCACCCAAACCACTCGAAGCAGAGCATTGTTGGCCACATCTAACCGTAACAATTGCCAATAAATATCTAATTCTTTGTTTTTAGTGGCTCCAAATGGGATGAAGCTAGCAATGTAGACTGATAATAGTGTTAAACCTTGTTTTAAGGAGTTGATTGCAGCAATGTTTCATCACAAATCCCATTGTAAAAAAGTTAATATTTGTGATATCCTTTTATTGCATTTTCTATCACAGCAAGATATGAACACTCATGTGAAGTGTACAAACACAGAGGCAACACATCAGGACATTATCACATAGACGTGGACGGTAGTGGACCAATCAAACCCCAGCTCATCTACTGTAACATGACAGGTAACACACAGATACACACAAATACACACATGCACACAATTTGATTCACCTAATCTCTTCATGTTTGAGCCTTTTATACCATGAAAGCGTCAATGTATTTTGTATTTATTGAATTTTCTCTTCCTCTATGTGTCTCAACTGTTTTCGTCTCTCCCCCAGAGGACATGGCATGGATGGTGATCCAGCACAATAACACCGAACTGACCAGAGTGCATTCGTCCCCGGAGAGAAACCAACATGTATCACACTTTGACTATGCTTCTGAAGAGGAGCAGTTAGCAGCAATCTCCAGCCAATCAGAGCACTGCGAGCAGGAGCTGTCGTACCACTGCAGGAAGTCCCGCCTCCTCAACATGCCAGGTAAGACTTACTGTGCGTCCCTACTCGCATAGTATCCGAGAAACAAAAGATTGCATCCAAACCAATTTGCTGACACAACATTTTTTGAGGCATAAAGCAAATGGCATTTTTTAAGTTGTTTCTTACTTGAAGAGATGAGATTTTAGCGAAGACAGTGAGATATATACGTTTTATTGGTATTGTTTGTGTTGTGTTGTTGTATTGAGTGTGTTTGAGAAATAGAAAGACTGTGTGGTGGAGGGGTGTTGTTAAAAGTCAACAGCGAAAATGCACAACGTTTTGATAAAGTAAGCTTTATCTCAAGTTTCTGTCTCTGGGGGTTTTATGTTAGGGAACAAGAAAGGGTGGTGGGACTTGCTGATTTGATTTGTTTAGAAACTCATTAAAACACCAATGAAGTTTAAAATGTGCATTTTCTCCTCCTCACATTGAAGCAGTTAAAATATGTCTGCATAATGCCATTATTCCTCAACTTATTCATGAGCTGCTCTTGTTTGTTTCTTTTTTTGCAATGCTTTCTTTTAAAAAAGGACAAAGAAAACACAATAGAATGTGTTGTTGAAAGTACCGATGAGTGACAAGCAGGCCTGGAATTTCGTCATTTTAGGGGCAAGGCCACTTGGCCTTTTGAGTTGTCAATTTTTTAAGGGCACAAAGGCCAAAAGCCAGGGCACCAAGGCCATAAATTAAAACAATGATTTAACATACGATATGAAGTGACTACGATTGTATATGCATTTAAAATACTTTTATATATATTTATTAAGCATCATCTTATCTTTGACAGCTAACAACACAGCGCTAACTGCCTAGCACTAGATAATAATAAAAAAAGAACACAACTGCAACATAACTTATCCAAGTAGTAACAAAAACACTTCAAAATATTATAATTATGCATTACCATACGAGCAAGAAGTAGTAATGTTATCCATAAAATTACACTTAAAGCTGGACAAATGAAAAACTTAACGGCAAACAGGATCATCACAAAACCTTACCTCACCTCAGCCTTTTCTTGAGCGGAGAATCAGCTAGCTAGGTCCTAGACCGTCCTACGCACACGGATGCGTGAGGGGGTGGGCGGAGATAGGTCCTAGACTGATGTCAACTGTCATCGTAGACCAGGGGTGGGGAACCTTTTTTCTCTCAAGGGCCATTTCAATTTTTACAACATCCTTCGAGGGCCGTACAAATTATTGAACTCAACGTCTGCTTAAAAAACTCAAATCACAGCCCATTCATTTCGCATTTCTTTCATGCTGTGCAAAGAAAAAGCAACCTCTTAATCCAGATATTTGACCATGACCCGCGCATTCATGCACCTTGGCATGACCACCAAAACAGAAAGATATGGACACAAGATGTGTGCAAATGTATTTAGTTTCATATCCATGTGGACATGATTTAAGTGGGTGGGGGGGTGGGGGGCGGAT